TTGACTCAGGGTATGCCCTAAACTATGCGTTGCTAAATTTTCTCATACTCATGATACCCTCCAGCAATCTGCAAGGGTATGCACGCATATATATATTGCGTAATTGAGACCATTTTAGGTATGTGCGCGCCTCCGAAAACAATTCAAAGCCACAAAAACAACTACAATCGACAGAACAGAGCAATAAACCCACCAAATGCGTGCCTGTCTGCATGGGTGTGTGAGTGAAGAGAATATAACGTGAGCGGGAGTGCGAGTTCCAGAGAGAGAGAGAGAGAGAGTGAGGCGAGTGAATGGAAGTATGTGTGTGTGTGGAGCGATTAGAAGACGCACGTCTAAGTTCAAGGCCAAGCAGTTCACAGCATAAACAGCAATAACAGCAAGCAGTGGAAAGAGCAGAAAAAGCTAGCAGTAAACGCAGCAAAAACTGCACACAAAAACGTTTTAGTGTGTGTTTGGGTTGAGTTGATTTTATTGTTCCTTTTTATTTTTTTTGCCATCGCAGCGAAAAAGGTCAATGACACCTGTCTGTTTGGCTCGGCAAGCACACCACTCACACACACACACACATGCTTATCATTTGGCCCACCACTCTCTGCACCAGAACCAGCACCGTTTAGACATGTGGTCAGAGCATTATTTTTTTCTTTCGTTTTTTCGCTTGTCTCTCTCTTTCTCTCTCACTTCGCTCTGCTAATTAGTGTGGCCAAATTATGCGCCAGTTCCAATGGCGAACCCGGTCCGTCCCCCGCCCCGCCCTACCCCACACATTGTACGGCATCCATATGTATGTACGAGAGTGTATTAGTGTGCCTCCCAGTCAGTCAGTCATACACATACGTCATCAACAATAGTCGGACACACAATTTCCGGTTTTTGCCACAAAAATATGCAAAAAGAAAAAAAGAAAAAAAAACTTGGACCCCGTCATTGCCTCATCCTTTCTCTAGATTTGATGTTATTTTATTTTGTTTTAACTTTTTTTTTTTTTTTTCGATTTTTTCAACAATTTATATTTGCGGCAACTTATTTTTGTCACAAGCGCGAGCACACACACACACACACACAGACGTAACCAATACGCATACCAAGGCAAATACAACTCGATTTAAAAATAAATAAATTACGCACAAATACAAATACATTGGCCAACATTCCTTGGGCCGCCTCGGACTCGTCAAAAATATAGCATGATTAATACAACAAAAAATGCTACGCTTTGCGCTTGCTTTTGTTTTTTTATGGTATTTTTCTTTTATTATACAATAATAATACACCACACCACACACAAAAATATATAATAGGCACAACAACTCACGGCGCACAGCAAGTGGGCAGCAGCAGCCGCAGCACCACCCCAACACCCCACAACCGCACCACCCCACCACACAGCGGCATGCCAATTAGTGCTTATGCTTTTTAATTAGCAGGCGGAGCCAGGCCCCAGCCCCAGCCCACAACCCATAGAGCCCCCAAATCCCTAGCACTAGCCCAACCCCAACTCATCATCGCCTCAATAGCGTGTTGCCTGTAAGATAGGCTTCCATTTCCCTTTTCACATTTCACGCACTATTTCATCTGGGTGCTGCTAGCTCACGGGAAAGTTCGGGAAATATACTATTTGGCAAGTCTAAATGGAGGCATCCATGTATCCGCGCACTCGAGGGTCGAGGAGGTCAATAGGTCCATATCCTATTATGGTGGCTTAATTGACGGAAGATATGCTTTCACCTACGTTATGAACCCAAGGAAAAGATTTTCAGAGATATTTGCTTTGGACTTGGCAGCTGAAGTCTCCTGGTTTTACAGGTAGACTGTAGACATTCTTTGCCTTAACATTTTTAGCATCTTTACAGCTATCAGGACTACCACCCAATCACTGTGAATGAGTCAACATTCATTCCACTTGAATCAATTAGACACCCTTTAAAACTGGTTAATAATGCAATAACCATTTAGTTCACATTTATTTATAACATATATTTATTCTTTTTTTAAATTGATTCTCAAAATTTAAGAAAATACGGACAACAACAAACACTCCAACCAAAACCGGCATTTATCGACATTCTTTCATTCCTACTTCTTCTCTCGCTCACGCTGTCTCGTATCTGTACGTACGCTCTCAGAGAACCACCAGAGACACACAAAGGGAGAGAGAGAGAACTGCGTGTCTGCTCTCTCTGCTCATTCTCATTCACAAAACAAGACGTAAACGTTGGGAAAACAAGCGGTTCTTCCCAGAGAGAAGACCGAGGAGGAAGAAGAGGAAGCACAACAACAACAACAGAGAACCAAAAGATATGATAGATATGGAACAACAACAACAAAAGAAACAACAGCTTCGCATAAAATAAATTGCTGCTGCGTAGTAATTTCTGTACGAGTATTTTTTCTAGTTGCGTTTTTTTTTTGTTTTTGTTTTTGGTTTGTGCTTTTGCTTTTTCTCTCTAGTTACGTTTTTTGCATTTTTCTCTAGCTATGATTTTTGATTGGCTGTTTTTGATGTTTAAAGGTTTTAGGTTTTCTGTAGAGTAGAAGAGCTAAATTTGGCAAAGTTTCATTCATTTGCCATCTATAAAATTCCTATAGCCGACTGTGGATTGTATATTAGATACATATAGCCATATCCTCCCACTTCTAGCTGGAACAATTGTTCAAATAAATAGTACTCGAATCCACCCCGAGTCCATAATCAATACTATTAATATCAGTTTTTTCTAATAAGCAAAACTATGCTGTGGATATATCCCTTATTTCTTTGTTTTGATTTTTAGTTCGTCTTTTTTGTTTTTATACTACTTTTCTAGTTACGTTTCTGTTTTGTGTTTTTATATTCTGTGTGGTTTGGGTTTTTCTTCCTTTTCACTCACCTTTTTGCACTGCGTTTGTTGTAAACCATTTTATTTGTTGTTTTGGTAGTAGTTTATTCTCGATTTTGTTGTGGTTTTATGCCTATAGTGTGGGTAAATAATTAATTTCAGCACTTATTCCGGCAATTTCTGCTTGTATTTTGGTATTGATTTCAAAAACAGAACAGAAACGACGCACTTTCCTAGACGCAGGCGTAATTACACACACACAGACACACGCACACTCGGGCATTTTTCCTTCTTATGTTTTATTTGCATGCTTTCCTTTTGCGCCGCAACTTCACAACACTCTCACACATGCACGCACCATCAACACACACACACACACACACGTATATGTATGGGTGCATACAAATTTTTATTTATTTATTTACTGTGAATTTTACACACACACCACACACACTCAGGAACATAGAAGCGCGCGCGCAGCACTCTAACACACACACGCAAACACTCGCTGGCAGCACTTGTATTTCCTGGAATTTCATTACGCCTTCTTTTACTATTATTACTATTATGATTCCCAATCCACTCTATCCACTCCACTACACAGATATTTCTCGAATACACTTTCGACCGGTGTACTCTGCTCTTGTTTAGTATATTCTTTTCATTCAAGAATCGCGTTTATCTTTACCTTGGTTTGTATACAACACTTTCTTTCTGCTTTCCACACACAAACACGCACACGTGTACACACTTTTCCCAATCTTTGAGCGGAGCGAGGCAAGGTAAGGTAACACTTGGCTGAAATATTTTTATTTTTTTTTTTAACAATGTTGTACACTTTTTTTGGCGAATTTTTCTCGTTTTTTTTGGGCTTGCTTCACGGCGCGACGCGTCAAAGTTTACGGTGAACGGTGAATTGGGCAATTTGTGGGCAAGCGTTCAGGGGAATTTCTCTCATGTTGTCAAACGGTGGGGGAAATATTCTCCTGCTGTCAAATGGTAAGGGAATTTTTCTCCCGTAAGGAAAAGTACCGCCTCATGCTCGACTGTACACGCAACTATGAGTACAAAATACCACACATAAAGTCACACAAAAATACCGAGAAATGTCGTTTTCTTCGACTTTGAAATTTTGTTTAATGTTTCCAGCTAACTAGGACTCTCAGCGCTGGGAATATAATTTTAAGCTATTCATCAGTCGATTCTCCTAATTCGTATGACCTGCATTTGTTGAATTGGGTATTGCCTGAAGGTAATGTTAGAATGCTGCTAACCTAACAAAATAGCATACCTGGCTGGCACTCATCATTGCGCTCAATTCGGAGCCATTCTGTTAATTTAGCGCACTGTTCTGTTAGCTTCCCGCTGCTCCTTAACAGACGTGATTACTGCCAACATTTACAGAGCTGGGAATCCTGTCCAGGCTCAGCATTGAGCCTTAACATTTAGAAATAAAGTTGGACGTTTGTTTCTGTTGGGTTTCTTTTTCCATTTTATTTGTTTTGCTCTTCTTCTTTATACAATTTGTATGATTTGTTGGTTTTGTTGCTTTAGTTTTATGGTTTAGTTTAACTTCTAGGCGAGAGTTTAAATAGGTAAAATAGGTATTTATGTACTTTTAGTTGACTCTGTTAAGTGGGTTTTGCTTGGGATGATTTGGCTTCTCTATGAACAAACTGCTATTGGGCCCATGTATTGGTGTGTGTTTATATTTTTGTAATTTTATAACAATAACAAATTATTATGATACATAGTTATAGGCTTTAATAATAATTTAAAAATCAATCCATTCAGGCAAATGAAACAAATTACAGAAGAGACAACGCTGAGTAAATTGTATAAGGGGGTTCGAATTCACGGGTTCCCGGATTCATGCGTAAATAAAAATGTTTCTTTTCAGGGAGTAGAACTGTTGAGTGCGATACGAGGTGGGGGGTGGGGCCCAAGTTGTGTGTCTTCTTTATCTTCTGAATGTTTATGTTTGTGTCTGTGGGGATTCCCCGTTATGGAAATTTTGAAGCAAATTTCAACATTCATGTTGGTTTTTTTTTGTTACAATTTGAAATTGATTTTCATTTTATTATTTAGATTCTAAATTGATTTTTTTTTTATATATATATATATAGCTATTTTTTGTTTTTTGTTTTTTAATTGTGTTTGTGTGGGTGTTTTTTGTTGTTGTTGTGTGTTTTGTATATTTTAGTAATTTACAGACAGTTCTAGTCCAAAATAGGTTCCTGGATGAGAGTAGGAAGTATTCGAACTTATATAATTTGTGTGTGGACTATTCTTATACCGCTTATTCCTGATTCTCCTCCTTGTATATTTTTTGTTTTGCTTTCTTTTAAGGCTAAAATTGAAATGTTTGTTTTTATAAAATGTTTGCTTATATTTTTGTTTTCTGGTGTGAGGCTGAGTTTTCTTTCGTAGAGTAGAGTTTGTTTTTAGTTTCGCTTAAATTACTTTTGGGATTATAAATTTAAATGTATAACTTTACGCTTAAAACTTTACACACAACTTAGTTTCATTAAGTTAGCTGATTTCTCCTTTCTCTTAGAATCCCAGAATCCCAGAATTTTGTATATACATTCAATGATATATATATATATGTGTGTGTGTGTGTGTTTGTGGTTGTATTTGTATGTGTGGATGCGTGGATGCGTCTCCTCTTAGGGTTCATAGGGTTCGGAACCAAAGTCAAACAGACGATCGATGCCCTCGTTTGCATTGAGCGCATACGGATAGTCATTATCATCCGGCGGGTTGATGGACACAAAGGCCATATCATTGCTGAAGTCTGTAAAGAAAAGTTGTATGTAAATATCAGAACTTAATTCATTGCCAAACACATTCATTCATCTTCCTTGTTCAGTTCATTTCTTAAAAGTAACACATAGACAGAGAGAGAGAGAGATAGAGTAGTTTATAGCGAGGCGAGGCGAGGCGAGGCGAGAGATGTTGTGGATGCATGTTTGAAATTCACGCCAGAGCTGAATCTCATGGTGCTACAAAATTTCAATCGCAAAATGAACAATTGGCCCTGGAACGGTCAGTGTTGTCAGTGCAGACCCACGAGAATTCAGTTCCAAAATGAATTTGACACGAGGACGATATATTTCAGACGAGGCGTCTCGGGATGTTATTTATTTATTTACATACAAATTTATTCACAAATATTATCACATTTGTATATACTGTTTTTTTTTTGCAAGTGTGGTTGGTTTGCTTGTTAAGGATATCAACAGAGGATGTAAGCATGCATGTGTGCGTGCGTGCGTGCGTGGGAATGTATGGATGTATGAATGTTAAATAAAATAAATAATGGAAAGCACAAATTCAAAATACCTACAACCAAATAATTGAAGGAAAATAATTTATTCAATTTTGAACTGATTCTCGTTGGCCGAAATGTTTTTGCAAATAAAGACTAAAGACACAAACAAACAAAAAATCAACTAAAACTCATACGAATACGTTTTTGGGGGAAGGTTTGTTTTGACTTAATGTTACACTTCACTTTAGCAATTCACACAAAAAAATAAAAATGCACTCTTGTTGGTGGGCGAGGGGTTCCCGCTCAGCAAGAACTCAGACTGTGATGTGGTTAAAAGTCACGCAGGTCACAGAAAAAGTTCTTGGCAAGAGGGCCCCAAATCGAGTGCTCACGAGTTACTGTACCTCTCTGTTAAAGCCTACAGAGATATCTCCCACTGTTAAACAGATCAGCATAATGTTAGCTTTACAGAGGTTCGAGAGACAGAAATGTTGTGGCTGCTGCTGCTGCTGCTGCTGTTGCCGATGATGAATGATGTACATGAATGAGAGAGCGCACGAGCAAGCACGAGAACACGAAAATGTACATCGTATAATGGATGACAGCTGGTTCTTGTGGGTTTGAAGGTTCGGATGGGTTTTGGGACAGGGGGGTTACAGTACTTACAGTCCGGGCCCATTTCATTGAAGAAAGCATCGAGGCTCTGAAGCGTTACATTGCTGCTGTTGCTGTTGCTGCTGGCATCACAATTGCCCATGCTGGGCGGCAGAGGCAGGTTATGGCGATTTTGGCTGTATTGCTGATGATGGTGATCCGCACTGGCGCCAGCGCCGGACAGGTTGCCATAACTGCTGCCATTGCCACTGTCGCAGACCTCGTTGTTACCAGCGACTGCCGCAAACTGCATATGCAGCGAGCCCATTGCCGAGGAGGCAGACGATGATGACGCTGTCGCTGCATTTCCTCTTGTTGTGGCTCCTTTTTCTCTTGTGGCATCGGCAGCATCTTCCATTGCACAATTATACATGGGCACATCGCTGCGACGTTGCTGTGGCTGTTGCTGATGATGGAGGTGCTGCTGCTGCTGCTGCTGCTGCTGCTGTGGTTGTGGTTGTGGAGGCGGCTGACTGCTCCTGCTGCTGAAGTAGCCTATTGTGGGAGGTTGGGAACTGCTGTTATGACTATTAAGCGTAGTGGTTGCTGTGGTTGTTGCTGCTGCTGCTGTGGCTGTGGGATGCCCCGCGGCAATTGCAGCTGCTGCTGCCGCCCGACGTCTTGTCGTGGGTGTGGGCGTGGGAGAGGATTCGGTTAAGCTGCTAAACAGCTGCTGGATGGAGTTATGCTGCTGCTGCTGCTGGCCATACAGTTGGCTGCGCACCACCGGATGGGTGAGCGTAGGCACCAGCTGTTGCAGCTCGGCATCCACATCATCATCATCGTTTTGCTGCTGCTGCTGCTGCTGGGCCATCGCAATATCACAAATGTTATTATATTCAGGCTGGGAGGATTGCTGTGCCGCGGCGGCCTCAATCGATTTGCTGAGGTTCCGCTGGGCCGAGCGATATGGTGTGGGATCTGTGTGCAAAGTAAATCAAATTTTTAGCTTCTTCAACTCAAGTTTATCCTTTTCCGTTTGCACTTACCTAATCCCCTTGTGCTCATCGCATCGATGTTATTGAAGAGCGGATCGTTCATTCGCTGGCTGGTCAGATGGTGCAGTCGTGTCGATGTGGCTGTCCGCACACAGCCGGCACCCGGGTGTGTGCCCAAGTAACCAGCGCCCGAGGATATGGGCGAATTCTCCGGCGAGTTGTCATGGCAGAGGAATACATTGATCTCCCCGTTCTCGGCCTTCACGTATATCTCGCGCGGCAACTTTGTGTTGGGCAGCTGGAAAGTAAAATGTTAATGTTGAAAGTTATTAAGAAATTCCTTCCACACACACGCACAAAAACAAGAAACTAACAGATCTTTTTGGTTCATTTTAATTGGTAGCAGAGGAGCAGAGGGGCTGCCAAGTGGCGAGGGGGAACTACATTTTCAAGCGGTCGCCGACCGGACCGGACCGGACCGGACCGTTCCACAGCGCAAGAGAAACACAAATGAAGCTCAAGAATAAGAATGAGAAATGAGCAACTTTTGTTGTTGTTGTTTCTGTTGTTGTCGTTGCCCCTCTCGAGTATTTTTAGAAATGATATTTTGCTTTTGCTTTGTGCTTTTTCTCAGTCTCAGTCTCGTCTCTTCAACGCTTTTGTTTTTGTTTTTTTGGCAAGGCAAAACGCTGCCAGATTGTTGCAAACAGACAAATGTTAACCCAACTTTTAAGCAACACTAAATTATGCTGCCCCTCACAACCGCCATGGAGGAGAGAGAGAGAGTTCATTAAACGGTTCAAGGCGAGCGGAAACATTAGGCATTTAATATATATGTATGTTATAAATAGTGCAAATTTTAGGAACAACTCTCCACTCTCTCTCTCTCTCTCTCAGTCTCTGTTGGCCTGGCAATATAGACATTTTCTCGATATCAAAATGTAGGCGGTTGGTAGGCGGCAGCTAGGAGGTTGTGCTGGTGGTTGTGCGGTGTCGGTGTCCCGTCCCGTACCGTCGCTCCCTGCCCCAGCCCCAGTGTGTGCTCGTTCCATTTCTCGCCTGCCTGTCGCTGTCTGCCGTGCCGTGGGGCTTGCGACAGGAGTCTATAAATAAGCGCCACGTTTAATGGCATGCAGACGCTAAGAAGAAGCAAGGAACAAACTCTGACGTCGTCCGATGTCTATAGTATATAGGAACTATACCATATATAACGCTAAATCGCTCAACCAAATGCAAATAAATGGCTTTCTCATCTCTATTGTCTATTGTAGTAGCAAGAAGTTAAGGGGTGAACTTTCTATAAAGATGATACCAACAATTGCTATGGGAAAGCGTTGCAATATTGGAAGAACCTCTTATAGAAGTATAAATCATAGATCTAATCCATGAGTTAATTTCCATTCTGGCAAAAGTAAACCTTCCGTTTTTTCTGTACAACTTTTCTTGCTTTTCTACAGCCATTTCCCATTAATTTGTACTCATAAATTTCAGCCCTTAGCCACTTTGTAGCCCTTCCCTTTGTACTCACCACAAGCTTTGCCTCTGGCGGCGCCTTGATCACAATCACAATCTGATCTTTGAACATATCCACATTGAGCAGATCATTTTGCGTCACATAGGCCTTGCCGCCGGCATCCTCCACTTCCTTGGAAATCTTCGCCAGCTCGTCCCGCATCTGATCGAGTCGCATGTTGAGCTCGTTCTCGCGATACTCCAGACGCTCGGACTCGGCCTCGATGCGACGGGAGCGCTCCTGGCTGACCATCGACTGTCCGCCCCGCCATTGGATGTTGTTTTTGGACTTTTTCTCCAATATATTGATGCCCTCGAGCACGTTGGTAATGTCGTAGATGCGACGCTTCTGCACGCACAGCCGGGTGGAGGCCTCGTTCAGATCGACAACGCCGTCGGGCGATTCCTGCAGCAGATCGACAAACTTTTTGGTCAATATACCCAACGAGGTATCGGCCCGATTGCGATCGCCGGCCGATGAGCCACCGCCGCCTCCGCCACCACCGCCGGTGCTAGACACCGAAGCGGACAGCTGCTGTTGGGGCGTTGTCAGCACAAACGAATGTTGCGTAGCCGACGGCTTGCCGCTGCTCCTCTCCGACACATCATCCTCTATATCTAGCTCGAGTTCGTGCTGCTGCTGTTGTTGCCGGCGTTGCTGTGGCTGCTGCTGCTGCTGCTGCTGCTGTGGCTGCGGCGTACTGCTGGCCACAACATGCTTCTGATAGCCAACAGTCTGATGCAGAAGGCCCTGCTTCGCTTGCTTCTTGGGATGGATCTCATCGGTGACGGGCTGCGGCCGGCGCTTGACCTGGAGAGAGGCAAAAGCAAAGGCAAAGGGCTTATGGTGGATCGAATGGAGTGGTTTGTGCACATACCTTGTAGTACTTGGTGATATCATTCGATTTGCTGGTCACACTAACGCCAACACGTTGCTGTTGCTGTTGTGCATTAACCACTGTTGCGGGTGTATGGACTCCCACTCCTCCTCCGCTCTTATCCTGACTGATGTACACGTGATCTCTCAGATGGGGGGCCACACCGCTGTTGCTGTTGCTATTGCTATTGCTGTCGCTGCTGCTCAGACCGTGATCGTAATCTAGATCCAGCTTTTCGCTTTTGATCACAATATTGTTGTTGTTGTGGTTTGTGGTGGTGTTGCCTCCCCCCAGCATGTCGTAGTTGAGTCTTCGTGCCACATAAGTGCCACCGGTGCCACCATAATGATGTTGTTGTTGGTGCTGCTGATGTTGTTGCTGTCTTTGCTGTGTGGTGGTGTTGTTGTTTCCATTGCTGCTGCTGTTTGGGGCAACAGGCACGAAATATTTGGACATTTCGCTGCAGAGTTATCCGCAGGGGGAAGTAAAAACAATAACCGTTTGGTCGGCGCTCTCTCTCTCTCTCACTCTCTCGCTCTTCCTCTTTATCCGTTACTCTCGTTAGTGGCGCCTGGCAGCAAGGCAATCGTCGCTGGCGTTTTTGTGTTGCATACTTTTAGGTGCCCGCTCCGACGAAAAAGGTTGCCACCCAGTTGGAAATGTACTTGGCGGATAACAGTTGTATTGTACTCTGTGTGTGTGTGTATGTGTGTGTTATCTTTATATCTCTCTCGCGTTTGGTCTTATCAACTAAATTAGCACCTAAGGATTCTTCACATCTGCAAAGAAAGCGAAAGAGAAAAAAGGTTAAATAAAAGCTTCAACTTCAACATTCAAGTTACATTTGTGATTAGACTTTTCGCATTTGGCACATTAAACTTTTGATCTCTATTTTTGCTGTTGCTTTGTTGTCGTTTTTTTTTCACTACAAAAATTAAAATGCAAAACGAAGAGAGAATGTAGTGCGAAGGAAATGCAAATAAATGCGACAAGCAAAAAGAAAACAATTTTACGGCTATCAACAAATTGTAAAACAAGACAAGAACAGGTAAACAGGGTGATGAATTCGACTGAAATATACCCTCACCATACCTTCACAAGAACGAAGATCACAGGAGCGTATTTATGCTAAAAAAAGTTCCTAAGATATCTCTCTAGCTAGTTACGTTTTGTATGATAAAAGATAAGCCCTACCCCTACCACAGTATTAAAACACACACAGGAACTACCATGGAAAACATAAAATAAAACCAGCGCGGGGCACAACAAAGATTATAGCGCTCTCAAATATGTCTAAGTCCCAAAAAATGAAACGAAACGAACCGGATTGGGGGGAATTGTTCCTTTTTTTTTGGTTTGCCAGCGGCAAGCAGCTCTGAAGCATGCCGAAACTATTTCGGAATACCACAAACAAGAAGAAGACTCACTTGCGAGTCGTCGCGCACAAAATGTCAATAAACCCGGCATAAAATATTAAACAATCAATAGGAGCCCCTCCCGACTGTTCCCCCTCTTGCAGACCAACACAGCGTGAAAGAAACGCAAAAAGAGAACGCGCAAAAGAAGATAGAAACGAGTAAGACAACAACAACTCCACAGGTAAAAGAGGAAAATAACGTTATTATTACTGGCTGTGGCCAGTGTGGAGTGGAGCTCAGCTTTTGGCAAAAGTCAAACTTGCCACTCTCCAAGCCCTGTCCTCAGTTCATTAGAAGAATGTCTTGGCCCCATTTGGCAGAGACCTGAAACATGAATGGATGGCAAAGACAGACGCTGGCACATAGGTAAAAATAATTAAAAGGCTCAAAAAAGCGTAAAATAAATAGAAAATAAAAGAAACCAAAAAAAAAAAGAGTGAATTGTGGAAGAGTGGAAACGGTTTACAATGGCAATTAGCGTGCACCACTGTGCATGCAATGTTCATTTGCATAGAACTCTGTACTGGGCTTAACGGTAGGGCCTAGAAACTGTTAGGAATGGACAGAGCAGGAAGAACAAGACGAGCAACGGGGGGTGGATTGTGGGGTTCTATGATAATTGCCAGAGAGTAGGCAAATACACACACACACACAAACAGAAAATGGTAAAATGAACCCCGAAAGCCAACTAAAATTTCGTAAGGAATTTGCTGAAATTTGCAAACAAAATGGAATGCCAAAGAAGTGCGCGGCAGGTAGAATCTCGTCACTCCTATAAAAACACACCTGAAAAGCTTAAGAATTTTATTTCATTTAGACTTTAGAATGCATTTTGGAACCTTAGGGAAATGAGTTCTTTAAAACAGAGATTTTGCTTCTATCTCTGTTACTTCGCACACCTCACCAGTGTGCGCTCTCTCTATTCGCGCTCCCTCTCTCTCTCTCTCTCCCTTCCATTAAATCGCAGGGCAGCGTTGATGGCAACTCAACTCCGCTGCCACCCCCTTCAGAAACTAAAAAAAGAAGAAGCTTCGCAATGATTTCAGTGATTTCTTGTGTTAGTGTGTGTGTGTGTGCCAAAAACGGTATCTGCTTACAGACGAACGAACACTGCAGGTAATTCAAATCTTCTACAAGGAAATTGTATACTCTCTCTCTCTCCCGTTCTCCACTGCCGCGCGCTTCTTCTTCTTCGGTTCTTTGGTTCTACAGTTCCAAAGGCAGAACTGGTTGTCGGTGCACAAACCATGGGGGCTGGACAAAAGCTGAATGACGACAGAGAGACAGTCGACAACAGCAAGAACAACAAAAAAGGTTTTAAGGCATCCTACCAGGTAGGTCCTCTCCAGCCGATTGAAATTTCCAATTTAAAATTTCTTTTGATCCCGCACGCAAAATGCAAAACAAGTAGCTGCAAATATTTGTCCGAGAAAGATTTGTTGCATATAAAATTACACTGAAACGTATAAAATTACTCCAACAAGAATATGAATTTTTTAGCAAGAAAAACAAAATGCACAAGGAGGGTTGGGGTCCGGGTGGTACCAATTTAAAGCTGGAAACTCTCCCTCCCTCCAAAGATCTGTATCTGTTGACCTCTCAAAAATGTACCCCCGTATCGTAATAAACAACTTTTGAGTGCACTTGTCCGTCATCTACTCACATATTTATCCAAAAGCGACACAAAGCAAGGCAAATGAAAGCAGAGAGGGGTAGAAATAGGGAGAGGAAAATAACATTATGCAAACAGGGAAATGTACACGAAAATGTGGCCTACAACGAATAGAAAAGCAAATGTAAATAAATATTAAGCAAACAACATGTGCCTGGTATACCCTTGGCTTAGTGTATAAAAAGTGTGGAGAAAACATCGGAGCCACGTTTAAATTATTAATCAAGATATTGTTGAGACATTTGTCAAAACCTAAATCAATCACTACAAGCAAAGGGTATTTAATATTCGATACACCACTGTCATTGGTTATTTTGTGTATTTTTTCTCAATCAACATTGACGCAACAGAGCGCATAGAGACACTCTGCACCGCTTGCTCTCTCCTCTGCTTTAGTTCTCCGTTCTGCCTTTTCTTCTCTTCACCCTATTGAGTGGAGAGAATACATTCAAATGACTGATAAAGGCAACGGCTAGAAAATTGTGGCGGTCCCAAGTAAATAGCGGGACCAAGCAGTGGCGTAGGCGAAGCAGCCAAGCGGCTCAAGGCACGCAAGGCGTCCCCTCTCCGCTCTGTTCTTTCTTTTGCTCTCGCAGTGTGTTTATTTCAAATTAGTAAAGGTAACAAAACGAAGCAAGCAAGTGGAAGAAAAGAAGAATAACAAGATGAAGAGCCAAAGGAGAAAAACAGTTTGCAAGGTGCAGAGCATACAGGGTGGAGGCATTCCTTTGGTTATCTTTTTCATCTTCTATTTGTCTGTGAGTGAATGATTGGAGGGATTGTTTCCTCTTTACAGGGCCCAACACGCTGCCATCAAGTATTCGCTCTTAAAAGCCTGCAACCGGACATACTGTCTCTCATGCATGACATTAACAGTTATTTAACTATTAACCAGGCATTTACGATTGCATTAATTATGAATTTAATTACGAATTTACAAATATTTAATGCAAATTAAATCACAACCTCAGGCACGGAAACCGTGCTGCCCGGACACACACACACACACACACACACATACGATCCATCAGTGCTGCAAACACACACACACACACACCTACCCAATAAGGCGTCGTAAAAAAGTTTCGCTTTCTTTTTGCACATCATTTTGCATGCGCAGTGGAAAAAGTAGAGACAAATACAGTAAAAAAAAAGAATACAAAAACAGTGCCACTACAAGTATATACATATGAATGTACGCACTAGTACTACTATAAGGTGTTAAGCACCATCCACCAAAAAAAAAAACAACACCAACGATTGCAGCCATTGAGCAGAACACGATTTTTGTGTATTGCGCGGTGAGTGAGAGAGAAAGAACGTGCATAAGTGTGTGTGTTTTTGGGATGCTGAGAGAGTGAGAGCGACAGAAGCCGGTTGGTCGGTGCTGCCAGATAACAGCTGTTACTCTTTCTAGCCGCTGGCAGATGCAATCCACATGCCCGTTCTTGTGAATTCTATTCGGCTTTTAGCCGGTTTTTATACGCAATTTTTTGTTGCATTTCATTAAGCCAATTATCAATTACACTTAGCCTAATGATCTTTACGGTTTCACTTGCTGTTTTTTGCCCACAATCAGCAAAGCTTAACCCAAAAATGCCAATCAACCTGGCCAACAACGATAGCGGGGGCTGGGGGCTGCCAACACAGCAGCTAATTATTTGCACATGGAGCAGAAAAGATGAAACTTACAGTACACTGTTAGCCAACACTACACTGTTAGCTAACACTACACTGTCAAGTCCAAATCGTCGTCTGAGAAAGCCAAAAATGATTGCCGAATGGGCTTTACAGCAGAGGGTGGGAGAGTAAAAGAGATCCACAGAGAGTGAGAACAAAGTGGCTTATAAAATGCGTCGCAAAATATATTTTGCCGACAAATTGCAAAACAAAAAGAAAATCGCATGGCGGGTATATGGTAGGAATGGAAACATAATGCCGGGAGCAAAGCAGATGGTCTGTAGGGTTTCCACAGTTTGGGGAAGTACCGTGGGTGTATACAAAATACATAGAAATGCAGCACATATTTACAAAGTACTGCCTGCTCACTGGAATGATGACGCATTTGATTCAATCGAATATGTGACTGTGAGCATGATAACAGGCACAGGCACACCACATACAATCCAAGCAGTGCCGCCGACGGTACGAGTGTACCAGTGAGGGCATGTATGCACATGCCCGTTCATGTATGTATATACATATTTATATACATGTATGTCCGAGACTGTTCTTTGTACATACACGCGATTAGGTGGTACACATATGTATTAGATTAGGCTCCGGAAAATGTTGATAAAAGTCGACAAAATTTCACATAATACGTAAATCAAAGTTTGCAGCTCAAGGATTTTCAGGCAACTATGATTAGGAAAAGAAAATGAGTAGACGTAGATCATATTATTTTATAAGCTTTTAGACGCGAATAAATAATTGAACAAGCCTTCGCACAAGTCCACAAGTGTTTTGTAGCATGACCATCTAGGGTTAAAAAAACTGCTTTAGTTAAGCGTTAACCCTAAGGTGCCAGAATGTAATTCTCTCTCTCACTCACGATTAAAACAAACATAAAATGATGGACAACACATTAAGCTTCTACTTTTGGACGTTATCTCTAGGTATTTAAAGTAGAGCGGCGGAAGCCCTGCAATATTGAGGAGTGCCGACCGGGGACTATATAATATCAGTA